ATTCTGGAGGCCATTTATGTAATTCCACCTTAACCCTGTTAATCTAGCTCGCTTGAAGGCAGCACAAACTCATCTTGATGTGTTCCTTTCTTCAAAAAGCCAAAAATAAACACATTTTTTTGTGCATCAGATGCTTTGGGAGGAGAGGGAAACCACTAGCAGACTTTTGGCACAGATTGCCCGCTTTCAGGGGGAGCTGAGCTTTGTTACCACGCTAAAAGATCACTTGGGCCAAATACAATCTGACCCTGAAGGTATTCTTTCTGTGTTTACAAGCTTTCACAGGGACCTATATACTTCTGCACCACGATATGCCCAGTCTGATCTTATGGAATATTTGAATCATGTTCATTTACCGGTATTGTCGCAGGTGGCTAGGGATATTCTCGAGGTCCCTCTGACTTTGGATGAATTGAAGGCTGCGGTTTCCAGTTTCCCCAATGGCAAGGCACCCGGCTAAGACGGTCTCCCTATAGAACATTTACAAACACTATGGTACTACTGTTGCCAGCACTTTTGGATACTCTGAACGATGCCACTCAGACTGGCCTTCTACCACTGTCTATGTACTCTTCGGCAGTGGTTCTTCTCCTTAAGGAGGGTAAAGACCACCTGCTTCCTGAATCTTATAGACCAATTTCTATCCCTCATACATCTGGATCAGTCTGGGTTCATGCCTCACAAATCTACAGCAGTTAATATTCAAAGGATGTTCCTCAATGTACAAGCCCCTGTTGACAACCCATGTAGTAGAGCTCTTTTATTTATCGCTTGACATTGCTAAAGCATTGAGCAGTGTAGAATGGACATATCTACGGGCTGTTCTTTTAAAGTTTGGCTTTGGTCCTCGTTTTCTGTCTTAGGTACAACTACTTTATGCTGCACCTTCTGCTCAGGTACAGGTAAACAATACTCTTTACCCCTCTTTCCCACTGCAGCAAGGTACTAGGCAGGGCAGTCCTCTTTCACCCATACTTTTTGCTCTGCAAAACAAACAGACAGCGCCTTGTCCTCGTGTAATACAGTTTATTGATCAATGAACATACAAGCTGACATAAAATATTACTCACATGGTAATCACTGAATAAATGGTACAAGGCAGACCCCACACAAATATGCCTTGCTAGCTTGCACGTTTCAGGAAATATACCCCCTTCCTCATAGCTGGCAAATGTAAAATGAAATACAAATATATAGAGACTGGTGAGTACCATGTGACACCAAACCCACTTATCAGATGCATCTGATCACCATCTCCTCATTAGTGGGAAAGTAAGGTAGCAGTAGAAAGTGCTGGTTTAATGCAGTGCAGGGATAGTTAGCTAAATAGTTAACTGGATAGTGTACTGATCATTCATCCACTGTTCGATATACATTGCCAACATTAAAATTGCCCGCCAAAACGCCGGTATACGTGGCCACATCACCAACCCACAAAGATAGTTGCAAACAATGTTGTGAGCTCCACCTGGTCGTTACATACATGTAGCAAAGGCAGCCGCTGGCATAATGAACCTGACGATCGAAGGAGGACGTGCTAAAAAAGGCCAGCTCCGTCTCTCAGTGCAACGCAGGCAGGCTCAAGTCACAAGTCATCGCTCCAATGTGACAGAGGCAGGGCACAGCTGACAGCCAACCAATCTGCGCCAGCGTCCCATACCCCCAGCACGGACCGAGGAGTCAAACCCAAGAAAGCTACATGTCAAAGAAGAACAAGCCAAGTAAAAACGCATGACATCAGACAACATTTCATTCGAATCCCATATTCAAATCCCACAGAAGACACATGGAAACCATAAATTCGGCAATCCTTAAAAAAATTACTTAAATTAATGAATGCCTCATGATCGCTTGTTGCAACAAGAGAACAAGGTCGGATGTATTCTCTTGTTGCAACAAGTGATCATGGGGCATTAATTAATTTAAGTAATGATTCATGATTCTGCTTGCTCCTGTGGACACTGTTCTTAATAAATATTTTAACTTGCACCTTTTGCTTGCCTGGTTTTCATTGTGCTCTGACACCACCACATTGTTTTTAAGGGATAGCATTCATATATTGCTGTATTTAATAAATAAACCTGTCATCTCCTAATGCTGTCATATAGGGGATGGTTATCCCCTGTGTGAAAGCAATAAAAAGTAAAGAAAAAAAAAAGCGATAAACATAAAAAACAAATAATCCTTTTGCTGCCAAGCCCTGCGGAAGACTTTTAACCTCAGCTGGCCACACCATTTTAGCAATTTGTAATTTTTTTTTACATTTTCAACTGCAGCTTTTAGCGTTTGTAAAAGACCTCCCCAAACCATACATTTTCTAAAATCACAGGCCCGATAGAATAAAAAGATGGTGCTACTAATTTTGAAAGTCTTGCAATCATTTTCGCAAATGTTTATCAAATCAATATTAACCTGTTGCCGTCCGCCCGTTGCAAAAAAACAGACGGACGGCGGACTCGCATTTGCACACGCGCACGGGCAGAAAAAGCCCGTTCAATGCAAAGAGCCGTTACCGGCTGTTTCACATACACACGATCGGCGGGTCTATAGCCTACTGATTGCGTGTATGTGCTGGCTGCGTGATCCCCCCCCTCGAGTGCCGCCGCCGCCCCCCATCCTGACTCCTCACCTTCAATCCCGGGATTCGCTGCCCATCTGCGGCCCGGGACCAGCTCGGGAGGGCGTCAGGAGGTAAGATGGCGCCTGCATGCGAAAATGACAAGTGAGCTACACATGTTACATATCGTCGCGGTCGGAGTGAGAGCAATCGTTTAAGGGCTATCAATCACTGATAACACAAAACTGATGAGCGGTAAAAGCTTTTAAAGCGTCGCCTATGGCCAATTTTGGGTATTGTAGTTTTTTGAGGTTTCACATGCTCAATTTTAAGACTTGACATGTTTGGTGTCTTTTTACCCAACGTGACCCCGTCTTTTATATTTTACCAAAAATGTGGGTAATAATAAATGTTTTAGAATTTAATATAGTTAACTTTAATGTTAACTATGAATCACTGGGCCCAATGCAATGTAAAAACAGGAGTCAAGAAACTTGTAGAGTAGGTATAAATGGACAATACACGTACCTAGAAGGTATGTAAGAAGAGAAGTCCTAACTCCACAAATGTAATAGTAACATTGTTCACATCCGACCACCGCAGCAGAGTGACCATTCCCTTAGTGGCTAATATAAGGAAGGCAGAAAGGAAGTTAGCTGCCGTGGCCACACTCAGAGCATGGAGACAAGTACTAGTTATCAGTAAAAATGAAAAATTAACATAAAACATTAGACATGTAAATATCAGGGCAATATGGTCAACAAGAGTCAAATACAAGAAATGCATCCCACAGGATTGCCAGAAACTCCAGGTGTGGGTCTGGACACATCTTCTAGAGATAAAACTAGGAGGTAGATACGAAATCCCAATGCCCACGAAAATAAAAACAAATGGATACAGAAATAACCAGGGCAGGGTCCACAGGGCCAAAGCAGTTCAATGGGCCAGTGGGGCCGGTGACCCATCATGTGCTCGCCTGCAAATAGAGCAGGAGGGATCCGTTGTAAGGATACAGAAAGAGTTCCCGTAACCCAGGCAGGTGGGGAGATCGGGTCCATATCAAGGATCTGAAACAGGCCCTGCAATTGATGATGTTGGGAGACGAAATGCAGAAGAGCCCTTCCGTATTAGGTGAAAAGAATGACCCCAGCGATAAGTAAAGTCTTCTTGGAGATGTCCGGGAACAGACTAATGATAGCCCCTTCAAAGGAAATGGGCCCCTCCTCCCATGTACATCTGAGCAATAAATCTTTCACCGTGAAAAAACGTATCCAGCACAGGACAGGGTTTGTGTCAGAAGGGGCCACTCCTAAACACTATGCACTCTGTCCAGTTCAATATCCAACCACAGTGGTTTATCCAGGTAGGTATTAAAGATGGCAAGTACCTTAGCCTTAAGATCAACACCAGCAACCAATTCAGGGATCCCCCTAATTTTGGCATTGTTCCATCGACTGCGTTTCTCCAGATCATCCAAATGTAGTTGAAGTGCAGCAAAACATTGTTCCACTGCACGGTGGAACTCTTCCAAGGCCGTCAATCAAGACTGTGTGTCAGAAGCAGTCTGTTCCAAAGTGTCCACACAAACAGTGGTTTGAGAAAAAGTAGCACTATTTCCTCTTGAAAGTTGCTTCAATACGTTTAGTATGGAGCTCAATATCCTGTTTAGTGGAGAGGGAGTTCAGGATGGCCCTGAATGCCCTGCCTTCCAGGGAGTTTAAGTCGTCCACCCTGTTGGGAGGCTCCACGTGCACCGCTGACTGCTGAGAGGAAGCCAGGTCGAGGAGATCCAGTGTGGCAAGATGATCGCTGCACCAGCGGGGATTACCAGAGCAGACCACAGTGCAGATGATGGAGGTGCCCATGGGGAGAGTCGGCCCAGGTCTGCAGGATAGCTGCTTCCCCAGCATGGGGAACGAAGAATACGCAGGTACTCGGCTAGCGGTGCAAGGCTGGAAAGGAGTCGGAGAGGAACAGCCACCCCGCATTTTTACATTTTGTAAATGTACCACACTGCAAATAGGAACAGCTAGTAGAAACTTTTAATGCTATTGACCACTGAATGCCAATTGTTGATGACTGACTAACCCATACTACAAGTGGGGTGCTATACTGACTATAAGTCCTGTCAAAATTCAAGCTGTGGGTGGCCCTTTCAGCACAACTCTGTCTGACAAAAATATTAAGTCTCAATCAAGTTTTGTTGAAGAATGCAGCCAAAAATTGTTGGCCAGGTATTCTAACAGCTGTAGGCACCAGTTGTCGGAATCCAATAGCCCAGCAGGTAATATTCATTTGGAAATGAGGATTGTGTATGGTCAGCTTTGGATGGTGAAGTGCTCTGAATTGACTTATGAATGCGCAGGACAAATATCTAAATTAAGCCACCCATGTTACAGTTTCCACATGAAATGCAGACAATATTACTTGGTTAGTTACTTACATGCGCTAATTACTATAGGATCTTCTTCCTGCTTTATGTTCGTGTCTTCCTCCTGCTTAATATTTACAATGCACTGATCTTCAATCTGAACACAAATAAACATGAAACTTATCAATCTGTATTTGTACCACAGGAAAAAAAAATGATCCTAAGTGTATGTATATATTACTGAACAATGATCTTCATTTAATCATTTCGATATCATATATGTAATTGTATCTACAAATTTCTCATGTCCTGGCACAAAATGTAATGTATTGCAGCTTACCAATCCTCAAATGTGGAGGCCATACTAGATTTCTTTTTTCAGCCTCTTTTGCCATTATTCTCACCTAGTGATCCTGCCAGGTCTGTGTGTCAGCTCTATAATCTGTAAAATTTAAAGTGAACCTGTGCCCAGATTATGCACACTATACAATTTATAAAATCTGAACACACTGTAAAAGCACTTTAAAACAAGTACTCATCCCTCCGTGTAGCGACAGGCACTGTGGAGAAATGAATCTTCAAAATTTACAGACACACAAAAACCACAACTATTTTCTATGTTAGCATAATCTTAGCAGGCTGCCAGACTTCTAATTTACACATTCAGCATAGGTTTCTAAGCCCCAGGTGCCCAACCTGTAGCCCAATGACTACATGTGATTCTTTGAGACTTACTGTGTAGCTCTTGGACCCCATCAGCTGTAGTGGAAGCTAGAGCATTGTTTAGTAAAGGGGCAATAGCAGGATCTCTACTAGTTGCATGCACCAGGCCATTTCCTAGACTTCTACTTTCAGATCTAGGTATTAAGTTATTACTAAAACCAGTGATAATCGAATGCAGAGGCAATTATGATAAAGATTAGATACATTTATTTAGTCTTACAGGCCCCTTGAGGGCAACCATATATAGTCTTACAGACCCCTTTGAGGGCAACCATAATGTTGATGCGGCCCACGATTAAATTGAGTTTGACAGCCCTGCTCTAGTATGACTGTAATCACTGACAGTCCTCTCCAGCATAACATATACCGAACATTATATGCAGCTATTTGGTAATGGTAGGAGCCACATTGGGACCTTCTATGTTTCCTATGTAGACAACTACTGAGCTAAGCTGTTATAAACCCAATAAAACACAATTTTTTGTTGTGATTTTTGAAAATGAATTACACAATAAGCACAAGCAGTTGGAGAGGTCAGTAATGGCAGGTTTTAAAGTGAACATGTGCCCAGATCATGCACACTAAATTATTTACATATTCAAAAGCAGTAAAAGCACTTTAAAAACAAGCCACCCCCAGCCTTGTGAAGACATTTAATTTTCAAAGTTCATTACACAGTTTTTTATATTTCCTTTTTCTCCATGTTGCACCAGAATTTTGGCAGGCTTTCCGCTTTCTAAAATAAACAACCAGCAGGTGTTTCTAAGTTGTAAGAAACAAACTGAAACCCGGCTCTAGAGCAGTGGTTCTCAACCTGTGGGTTGCGACCTAAAAGTGGGTCGCGACCCACAGTTGAGGGGGTAGCGCAGTAGTGTCACTTCTCCTAGATGGCGCTGCAGCAGGAGAGGATCAGAGAGAGGGGAGCAGGCAGGAGTGAGGGGAGGTGAGTGCTTGATCACCACATAGCCCGCACTGGGCACCAAAGAGGGCGCACTGGGCACCACAGAGGGCGCACTGGATGCCACCAGAGAGCCCACACATATACTAGTATTGGTGCATCCCTAAATTTTACAGTTGGGGGTCACCACAACTTGGCAAATGTTACCAAGGGGTCCCGGCGCTAGAAAGGTTGAGAACCAATGCTCTAGAGAATCTCTGAAGGAAAAGCTTCACATTAAATGCACCTAGAGAGGTCAGACGGCTTGTTTTAAAAAGGCATTGTTACTGTTTGTTAGAAATATGTCAAAGCTTTAACATCCAAAGGCTGGGTATAAGTGCAATTTACAGTTATTTTACTGGTTCTTAAAAAGATGTAAATACTTTAATGTCCATGGTCTGGTCACAGGTGCACTTGGAGTTAGCCAATATCACGTAAACTACAAAATGTTTACACTGATCGATTGCTAACATAGTAAAGGACATAATGTGCGGTCGCATTGCGTGGCTACGGTGCCATTCACTTTAATGGACCGTCACGCCCCCATCCTGCCCCACAACATAGTGAGCCGGCCGCAATGCGATGCAGTGCGTTCTGGCAGGAACGTACTGCACCTGGTGTGAACGAGGCCTAAAAGCAAAATATTCTATACAATTTACATTTTCTATCTATTTCTATCTATTGCTTACTGACAAATGATGGCATGATTAGGAATTTTGCCCCCCAAAATCCCAGCATTGTGTAAAGAAGGCCAAAATCAATTCAATATATGCTTGTTCACACTAGGGCTGCAACTAAATTTTCATAATCGATTAGTTGGCCAATAATTTTTTCGATTAATACAATTATTCAGTTACTTATTGATTAATAGTTATTTAATTATTGAATATTAATTTGTTTTAATTAATTTAATTAAATGTTTAATTATTTAATGGACATATCATATTCATTCTTTCTACAAAGCTCTCATGCCTAGCATATATGTCACAGAAAGAACTTGCTCAGGAAGGAAAACATTACCAAGCAGACTTCTCTACTGGACTGCTCTCACCAGACACTTGTCTGGAGAAATCTGATTTTCTGTAGGCTTGAATCCGCGTCCTGACACACGGATACGTTACTGACACACAGATTCGTACGTGTAATCCGATTGGCTACAGATTAAATTTTTTATTTCGCCACGCTCAGCTCTAGTCTAGAAGAGCGTGGGAGAGGATATTGCTAAACACACTGCACGCACAGCTCCACTTCCCTTTGCAGGGCGCGGCTTCACGTGCAGTGTGTCACAGGTTTCACTGGCTTAATTGTGTTTACTGTTCAGCCGATACCTCCACCTATCCATGCGCCCCCCCGCCCAGTTGTTACCACGACTGGCTCCACTAACTGCAAAACACACACAACATATAGGGCTGCAGCTTAAGTGGGCATGGTTAAATTATGCTGAATTTTGGGCATGGTCCAGTAGTATGCTACTTCTATACGTGTCTGACTACTGCTTATTGGCCTTGGAAACCAGACGAGTTGCCCAGGGCAAGCAGTATAGCCCATTTTTAAGGGATTATACATTCAATTGCTTTGTCGCATAGAATGTTATGCAACATTATACCCACCCGAACTGCAGAGCCAGCTCCCTGCTTCTCCAGTCTCTGAAACCTCTCTCCTCCTATGCCGCAGTATTGGAATGTTACTCAGCATTCTCATGTCTTAACACAGTGTATAGAACATGATGGTTTACTGGACCAGAGGAGGGTGAGAGAGGCTGGAAGGACCAGCCTAAAGATAGCTGGCTTTGTGGTTCAGGTAAGTATAACTTTTTGGGGGGTTTTTTCAGCACCTAGACAAAAATGAACAGTTCAACCTTGCAGAGTGGGGGAAGACCCACTGCAAGGGTTAAAAAAAAAGTTTTGCCCGGAATTTCTTCTTTAAAAAGGGGCTTGTTGTGCTTGGTTTTTAATGTGGGAATAAAAATTTGAAAAGAGGATATAGTTTCCTTAGATCATGTTGCTATTAAAACAAGTTAGTGTGTCTTTTGTTTTGCTTTTCATATGTTGTAGGTTAATAAATGTGACTTTCATAATCATTTCTTCAACAGGACTAATGATTCAATCTGTTCATTTACCTTTAGTTCTAGTCCTGGCATAAGTATATGCTCTCCTTCGTGTTTACAAATTATACTATCCATTTCTTTCACAGTAGAATTGACGAGATGGAAGCCTAGAGTTGAAGAAATTGATATAATTTATTAATCCAATGATGATTGGCTACTAGGAGAAAAACACAGTTCACAAAATAGGAATTACAGTGTAACTACTTCAGTCTGGCAATATGCTAAATTTCACCTAATTTTTTTGAATTTCATTGAGAGGTGTTAAAGTTGTAAAATCTATGTTGCAATTTGTAGTTTTGAGTCCTGTTTCCTATGAAAAAAGGAAATAAATGCAATAACAAAAAGGACTGTATTACATAAATAATTCATATTATTTAAATATGAATCTGTGCCCAGACTATGCACACAAAAGTATTTACCCATTTCGAACAATCCGATTCTACTGTGGTGCGTTAGATGCACATGAGGTAATGTGTGCGGGGCCTTGACAAAATTTGCTGGCTGTGTTTAGTTTCCTCTGATAGCTGCAAGTGTTGAATAGAAAATATTCATACACAGTAAAATTTGTCTTCAAAGTTCACAACAGAACCATGACCAAAAATCATCCATGTAGCATTGTCAGTAGTGCAGTGCACCGAAAAGGTGGGCTAGGGTGCCATTCAGAATTAATGGAAAAGTTTTATAACTGCAGTGCAATAGTTTGAACAGGTCCTTGGCAGCCTGCAACCCTTCTAATATAAAGACACAGCTGTTTCAAAGCTGTTAAAAACTGACTGGAACCCGATTTTGGAGTCTTGTCTTGCAAGGGTTGTAAAGTACTTAAAAAAACGTACGATCTGCCCATTTTGGACAGGCAGATCATACTTGCGATCATCGCAAGCCTGCCCCCCTGAGGGGCGAGCTTGCGATGACTGTAATAAGGGGAGGGTTTTCCAGCCTGCTTGTTCGACGGAAGACGTGCGACCGTACAGTAGAAACGGTCACACGCCTTCCATACACTGCACGATCGTACGATCGCGGGATTTCCTGCGATTCTCGTACGAGAATTGTGCAGTGTATTTAGTTGTGATCTTTTAAAATTACTTCACATTACAACCAGCTAAAAAGGACAGGGATAGCTTGTTTTAAAGCGCTTACTTCCTTGTTAAGAATATATAAATGCATAGTCTGGGCATATATATTGTGCAGGACACCAGGAATGGCTTCTGGATGGACGGTTTATTTCCCCGCTATTTAGGCAATGGTCCCTTTAACCACTTGTTGACCGGGGTGTTTACAACCCCTTCCTGTCCAGGCCATTTTTCAGTATTCAATGCTGTGGTACTTCAACTGACGTTTATTCCGTCATGCAACGCTGTACTGAAACAAATTTTATACAATTTTTTGGGGACAGATGGATCTTTCTTTTGGTGGTTTTTATTTTTTACTATATAACAAAAAAGTACCAAATATATATTTTTTTTAAACGGTTTTCCCTTTATTATTTTAGGAAACATTTATTTTTGCCCGATTTCTTGGTAAAATATAAAAGGCGGGGTCACACATCGGGTAAATAGACACCAAACATGTCGAGCCTTAAAATTGCGCACACCCGCGAAATCGCAAAAAAACTATCATAGCCAAAAGTGGCCATAGGCGTTGCTTTAAAATATTTTAGCGCTCATCACTTTACGGTTATCAGTGATTGATGGCCCTAAAATTATTGCTCTCACTGCGACGTTCGCATCGATATGTAACATGTGCGGAGTAATGGGCGCAATCGTCGTTTTTGCGTGTAGGCACACCTAACGCATCTTTGCACATCTATGTGGGGGTTGGGGACTTTAAAAAAACCTGTGTGTTTTTCTTTATTTGTGCGTGTGTAAATTCTATTTATTTTGTGAGCAATTTTTTTTTTACTTTTTTTTTTTACACTTAACTTTATTGTTATCACATAGGGTGCTAAGAAGTCCCCTATGTAATAACAAATTACAGTGACAGGTCCCCTTTATAGAGACATCAGGGGTCTCTAAGACCCCTAATGTCACCTAGGGACCCCCCAGAGAAGCTGCTGAAGCACAGACGTGCTTCAGCAGCTACTCTCCAGTTTCTGTACGGGAGAGTGACAGAGGAATGCGGAAGTGATGTAACATACATCACTACCTGCATTCAGAGACTGAGAGGAGAGCGGAGGGAGATCTGTACTGATCTCCCACCTTTCTCAGTGCACAGAGCAGCCACATCACCCGGGATGGATGACGCCCGGGATCGCGGCGGCGGCGAGAAGAGGGAAGGGGGGGGGGGTCACCCTGACTTGCATCATACAATCGATCGGGCGTCTTTACAGACGCCGGACCGCTTGTATGTAAACGGCCATCGCTGACGCCCACTCGCATCCAGGAGACTCCTGTCCGGCCGTATTTCAGCGTTCGGCAGACAAGAAGTGGTTAAGGGGATGTTACAAACAGATTTTTGAATGGAAAGGGTTAGCCCACCTGCTAGGAGTGGTTTAAAGCGCACAGAAAGCCAGCCTGCAGTTGTCTGTGAGGTGTGTTTGAAGCTGGGCACAAGGCTGTGCCAAGCTAAAGCCTGCCGATTGCCGAGACACTGCTCCTGGGTGCCTGGGCCTGGGATGCAACCTCCTGGCGCCAGCTGGGACTCTAACCCTGGTGTTGGACAAACTTACTGAGGAGGTGAGCCACTTATTAATGTGTGAAGAGAAGTGCTATTTGTTATTGTGTTATTTGTTTGTTTGTTTTTGTCATTTCGCTGAAGATAAGCGGTTTTATTTGATCAGCCTGGCAAAATAAAGACGGTTTGCTCATTAAAGTTACAGCTGGCTATTGATCTCAACCACCATGAAGAGATCTATATATATATATATATATATACTGTATATAGGTATATACACAGTATCTCACAGAAGTGAGTCCCCCCCTCTCATTGGATGATATCGTGTCATGTGACGACGCAGAAGAAATTACACTTTGCTACAATGTAAAGTAGTGAGTGTGCAGCTTGCATATCAATGTACAATCTGGGGGCCCCTGGCAGTATATCAGTGTACAATCCGGGGGCCCCTGGCAGTATATCAGTGTACAATCCGGGGGCCCCTGGCAGTATATCAGTGTAC